TTATGTTGCTGAACTTAAACATGACTCAGAGAATGGAAAAATATGATTTTTTGCAAAAAGATATGGATGGATCTTCTTCAGCAATAAATTCAACAGCTAATGATGGTAAAAACTTGTACCTGATGATATAAAATATTCTGGGAAAGCAAATTATGAACTAGATTTAAAAGTTAATTGTAGAATGACCTCAGCCATTCAATAATTGAGTCTCCTTCTCTTACTCAATTGAATGTTAATGGCAATTCTTAAACTTCTAATGTTACTTTGGCCAAACATACAGTATTACTTATTTAAACAAAGATTTTGCTTTAGTTGCCATGAATGAAGATCTTGATAAGCCAAGGTAGTTTTAATTAATTAGCTAATTAATTGTTTATATGTGTATTTATTATTATTATTATTTCTATTTATTTATTAAGGCATCTCTTGAATATAATCCTAAAACAAAATATAATTGTTTAATGTTGACATCAAGGTTGGGTGACAAAAATATTTTGGAGTGTAAAAAGTATTTCGTCAAATGGGGCACATGTGGCGAAATGTGACGAAAGTGATGAAAAGTGACAAAGGGTAAAGTCAAAAGTCAAATTGTGATAAAGATGACGAAATATAAAATTCAATTTTATTTAGATTTAATTAAAACAAAAATTTAATTTTAAACATTTTTTTACATTGTAAATCATGTTTCTTGGTTGGATACTTAATTTTTGTACACAATGTTTTAGTAGGAATTGCTGCTTCACATCTATTGCTGGTTTCATAACTTTCTTCAAAATCTGTAGAATCATCTGATGATTCTGATTGTTGAAATGATACTTCATTTACTATTTTAATGGAGTGTAACCATACATCAAACACAGGACATCCTGTAGCTAATTCTTGATTATTGTTAAATGAACTTTCAGGTATATTACCTAATTTTAATATTTGCAAATTCATATTTATATGGTGATGATTGAGAAGGAATTGGTGAATTGGGTAAATTAGAATTTGACATCATGAATTTTATTTACTCCATAATTTAAAATCTACAAAATAATTGGTTTATTTTATTGTTTTGTTGATTTAGTCACTTTCGTCAAATTACTCAAAGTGTAAAAACCCTATTTTGTCACATTTATTTTCATCGCCCAAACTTGATATCAACAAAGATCCTTGTAAAATCAGCCCATTATCTTAATATCCATGTTGTAATCTTAATGTTTGCTGATTGAGATATTAATATAATAATAATAGTAATAATAATACTTCATTGCCCATTTCCCATTTTTTTATTAAGGGCTAAAAACTTTATCATTTATAATCCTTATGGTAGATTTAAAAAAGAATACATCAACCATATGACCCACACAATCTACACTGTTTTTTTATAGAGTTTTTAATCAATCCAAAATTACCATCACATTTGAATTTGATATGTCCAAGAATGAAATTCAATTCAACACTTTCATAACTACCACATATAAATAAAATCAAATAGTACATTATTTTTATTTTGTCCAACATTTTCACAAGTAATCTTTAAATACTTCCTATAATTTTGTCTTCATCAAGTACATAATTAATTTGTTCTCTTACTGCCTTATCTTGAATGCCAAATAAATGGACTTTATGTGGACCAAGATAATAGATCTTACTTGTTGATCATAATGGGGTGCATGAACATTTTGAGCCCAATCATATCTATAATGAGCAGTAGCCTTAATACTGCTTTACCATTAGAAAAGTTTTGGTCAACAAGTTTTCTGCCAATTTGGTGATTTTTATTATAATGATTTCTTTCTAATTTGGCCTTGGACAAATGTTCTTTAAATTTTGAGTAAATCCTTTGCTTCATCCTCTTGACGAGAATTGTAATGTAAACCATTTCGAAAATGTTGACAAGTATCACACAAGTTAGTCCTTGGACTCAAATTTAAATTTCTAGTATTAGCTAATATCACAGCCTTCTGAATGCATAGATTTCAAATTATTATCTTCTTCCAGACCAGCAAGAAAATCTCTGTGCACTGATTTATGAAGAGAGATCCTAAGAAATGGCACAATGATTGATGGTGGTCAATTTAAGTCTGACAACCATTGAGATTGATTCATTTTTCAAAGACATTGATTTCTATACTATTGTTACATGTTCAAAAATTGAGGAATTAAATGATGATCTGTTCTGCTTAGCAATAGACACTATGAAAAAAATGCTTCAGAATGCTAAAATGCGTAAATCGGAGGTGGATGAAATTATTTTGGTTGGTGGATCCTCTCGTGTTTTGATTCTGATTTTTTTAATTATTAAACCCAATAGTGTGGTTTTAGTTAAGATAGCGGAAACCTTGCCAATCAATTCTACAAGTATAGTCATTAACATTTATCAAGAGGGAAGTCCCATTTGTCAAGACTAATAATTTCATGGGAAAAATGTTTTTTGACAAAAACCCACCAACTTATAACGAACAGTTTATCTTCGGTTGAAGATACTTTTGATCTTGATGCTAATAGGCTTATTATTGTAAGTATCATGTATTTATTATTTATTCTTTAAAAATTATTTTAATGATTATTGTTTAAGTAACTGTTAAAGGTAAATAGGAACAATTGACTGTTATAAATGATAATGGTTATCAAAGGAAGAATAAGTGTGCAAGAGATCGGGACACATGAAAAGGACGGGGGACGGGTTCAAGCCACACCTGCCCGTCCCCCGTCCTTTTCTATTATTCATGGAGAAATCTTGAGAAGGTCAGGTGAAAAGGGGATGGGTATGCTGCGCAGTTACTGCCTGTACCTGATGTTTTCTTAAAAAGGACGGCATTAATATTTGCAATATTGTATAATAAATATAATAATGCAAAATGAAAAGGACAGGGGACGGGCAGGTATGGCTTGAACCCGTCCCCTGTCCTTTTCATTTTGCATTATTATATTATTATTATATATTTTAATTAGCTTATTTATTATCTATTATGATTTGTATCTTTCATTATTTTATTTTTACCTCAATTGTATAATAAAAATAAAAATCAAGACTTTAGATAAGGAATAAATAGAGACGGAAAATTATAATAGTCCAATTTTGCAGCCTGTTTACTAAAATTATATTATGACAAACACCTTTCACCTGTCCTTTTCATGGTTTGCCTGCAAATAATAAAAAGGAACGGTGGGGCGGGTGGTAATGGCACAGTGGCCCGTCCTTTTCATGAATAATAGAAAAGGACAGTGGAACGGGTGGTAATGGCACAGTAACCCGTCCTTTTCAAGATTTGCCCATG